GGGAGGGCCTCTGACAATATGAATAATCTCAGAGTTTTAGATGAGCATCTATGAACATGATTCACCAGAACTTTTCGATCGTAACAAAGTCAATCTTCTCAGTAATAGGATAACACCACCTAGTTTTTCTGGGCTGAAAATCATTGTGCAACCAAGTTGATTGATCTGCCTAGCAAAATAAAAATATTTGGAACCATCCTAGCAACTTTCTACTTCTGTTGGAACTAGACTCTTAACTGTAGAAAGATAGCAAGATTTCTTGCTGTGCAGACACATTTCCTAGATTATCCACAAGATGTCCATGACAGAAGTAATAATGCTGAATAAGAAATTCTAAGAAATGTTATTTACTTTAAACTTTAAACCTAGATAAGATCTAGATACCTACAAGTAACAAAAAGAAATGAGAGGAAAAGTTATGCCATTAGAGGGCACTTTTGTAATCTTAGAAGAAAAGTCTGTTCTTATAGACTGGATTACCCAAGGCTTATTCTTAAGCAGAATATATTTTCAGTTGTTTATTTAAAAGTGAGTAATTCTTAAGCTGAATGTCTAAGAGAGAACATTTTTTTTGGTAGGGAAAAAAATCTGTAAAATTCCATCCTTTAAACAATACTTACATAAAGCTTTAAATTTGAATAAGTGAATATAAATTGTGAAAAAATGCACAATATGTCTGCATAATAGTGTTTTGATTAGCTATATTCAATGCTTCTTTTAAGTACATCTTGTTAAAAAAATGCTGCCTGTAACCTGATCAAATTGAACAAATTATTAGGCTGCCCTAAAAGCTGAGTATGTTTTTCCCCAGCAATACATGAATGTTATTAGATAACATTTGAAAACAATAATCCTACAGAATATAAAGTCCTGTGTTTGGGGAATCATACTAATTTTTTCCAGTTTTATTGAAAAATAATTGACATACATCACTGTATAAGTTTAAAGCATACATCCTGATGGTTTGATTTACATACATTGTGAGATGGTTACCACAATAACTTCAGTTAACACCCATCTTCTCCTGTAGATACAATAAAAAGAAAAGGGATCATACTAATTTTAAACACTTTTCTGAAAAGTATCTGTTTTGCCCATAGTTGATGTGGCAATTTAAACAGCTAAAATTGTTTCAGAAACAGAAAGTGTGACCTGATAGAATTTTAGCTGAGGATATACGATTTTTTTTTTTTAAGAAAGCAAAAGATAGTTTAGTCTATTCCCTATTGGTGATTATCTAAATAAAAATGTCTACCTGAGCCAGTAAGGTCAATAAGCCAGCAAAATAATTTAACAAGTAAAATCTTAGTGTCAATAACTGTGAAGAGTATGAGATTTTACCCTCCTTGCAAGCTAACAAGTTAGCCTGCCGTAGTTTCATGGATGCTAGATGGCATAAGACTCCTGGGTCAGCGACAAAGGACTTTATTACACAGAGCAATAGCAGAAGCCACAGATCCACAGCAGCAGCATTTTCTCCCACTGCCTGACCCCCCAATTCTCATAGAATGATTCAAAGAGGGCCTGATGGCATCAGCCCATATAGTGGGGTTTATTATAAGAGAGCAGCCCTGAGCTTAGGGAACCCAGATTTTTATAATGGGTAACAATCATGCCTGCTCTTTGCTCCAGAAGCTTTATCTTCCAAGGCTGTTTACTATACAAACATCCTTGAAATGATAATCTGGAACAAAGGTAGTCAGTTCTTCTGCTCCCCACATGTGCACAAACAAGCACAGAAACCCATGGAGAATTGTCTTTTTAACACTTACTCTGCATAATCCTATCATCTGAAGTTGTTCACTTTACTAAATATTACATGGCTAAGTAGCTGACGTGGGGGAATATATAATAATCATATTTACCACACTCCTGATAGTTTATATTTCTCATATCATATTGTATTCACTATGTGTTCTTATGTGTCCAAGCCTCAGTTTGATCATTTTTGAGATGAGATGAGATAAATAATAGGGCCTACATCATAGGCTTGTTACTGGCATTCATGAGATAATAGATATGAAGCACTTAGAAGAGTGCCTGGCATGCAGCACTCTTAATATTGTTATTAACTCAAAATTCATCTCTTCTTATTAGCTGATTTAATAAAGAGAAAGTTCCTCCCACAGGCAGCTGAGATTGCTGGGAAAATTCCCACCAGTCATAACATGCTACCTCTCTAACTCTGGGGCTGACCTAAATATCCCAAATACCCAGGGGCATTGGGCAGCTTGGTCCTGTTCAGCTGTGCAGTGGTACTGTGCAATTGACAGCCTTGAGGGCAAATGTGGGGCTAATGAGAGAAGGCTGCCCTTAAGTGGTTCTAGGGCAAATACGCCCAAGTATCTCACACTCAAGTGCTGCCATGGCATGTTTGCTCTAAGTTCCTAATAAATATGGAAAGCCAAATTCTAACCATTTCTAAAGAGGCATATTTTATTATCTGGCCTCTTCTGCTCTCAGGAGGCAAACTTTCAGAGATGCTACTACAAAGTAAACTGAATGTGTTCTATTATGCTGAAATAATAAGTATTTCTTTATAGGGACGGCATATCAAATTCTATTCAGATTTTCCGTTTCTGTTAGCTACAGGATGAAGGGCATCAGAGGACAGGGACTGAGGGTCGTCAGTGGTGGCCCCATTCAGTTTACCCCACCATGTCCCTATTTGTTTTGAATAGGTTCACTGAGCTTTGATTTTTGATCCCCCCAGCCATCTTTTGTAGATATAACCTTTGTTTGCTGTTAGTAACTCCCATGACGTCTCGTTTATATCCCCAACTTTCCTTGGATTCCACCTTGACAATCACCTGGATATCTGAGGGACAGCTTATTTAATGAAACTCAAGGAGGCCTGTTCTTATTCCTAAACTGCTAGCTATTTGTTCAGTCTCAGAATCATCATTTGTTTTGAGAGTTTAGAGATCATCCATCCAAACCCTTCATAAAATTGAGGTCCAGAATTTTGAGTGAATTGCCTAAGATTACACTTCTAGTTAGCAACTGAAACTAAAAAGTCAAGTTTCTTAGCTCTCAGTCAAACTCTCATTCAATGGCAATACAATTGAGAAATAGGATGGGAAATAAATGTTTGGGCTCTGCCGTCAGATTCACTTGGGTTTATATCCTTTCTCTGCTTATGTTAAAGGAGGTTTATACTTATATAAGAATAGCACCTACTTCACAAGGTTATTGTGAATATAAATGCAACTTAGCACCGTGTTTTGCACATAGTAACTCTTAATTACTGCAGATATTTATATGGAAAATTGCAGAGCACATGGCAGAAAGCAAATTTTGAAAAAGTAAGTTAAAGGAACTTTCTGAGCAAGCTCACTGGGAAAAATTACTTCTCAAACTCTCATAGAAAAAAGAAAAGCTTATTCCCTTCAAAAAACTATTTTCAGTTGTATGAATCTATTTTTGGTAGCACTCAAAGAAAACTTAAAGTCAAATGATGGTTTTAGAGGTGACCGCATAGCTATAGCAATGACTATTTAGAAATAAAACTGGCATTCTCTTCATTTCAAATTATCGCAAATATTTGCATTTGACTTTCTCACTGTTTAAAGCACTTCAATGTAAAAACACTATATTTCCCTAATGCTTGAATTCCCTGATGTATGTTGTCAAAAGAGATAAGGGAAAACAACTCCTTGCCTAGTTTTTTCTGTGAGGAAAACAGGCACCAAATCTTCAAAGGAAGCAAAGCCTTTCATTAGCACTTGAGGTGAAAAGAACTCGCCTACCTGCATCTTCCTGTTGGGATAGGGAAACGTAGAATATGGTGTCCTTGAAACAATCCCTAGAGCAAGGTGCCCTAGAGAATGATCCATGATTGCTTATAGGATTTTCTATTTTTTTTTTTTTTTTTTTGCGGTACGCGGGCCTCTCACTGTTGTGGCCTCTCCCATTGCGGAGCACAGACTCCGGACGCGCAGGCTCAGGGGCCATGGCTCACGGGCCCAGCCGCTCCGTGGCATGTGGGTTCCTCCCCGACCGGGGCACGAACCCGTGTCCCCTGCATCGGCAGGCGGACTCTCAACCACTGCGCCACCAGGGAAGCCCTGATTATAGGATTTTTTATGAAAGTCAGTGATAAATGTCAAAATGTAACTCAATGAAAACTGGAGTGGTAAATATATAACTCTGCTGGAGGTTAAGACAAGTGACCTAAGTATAGAACTTTCCAAAGTTTTTTTTTTTTTTTTGGCTGCGCCGCAGGGCATGTGGGATTTTAGCTCCCCGACCAACCAGGGATGGAACCCTCTCCCCCTGCATTGGAAGCGCGGAGTCTTAACCACCGAACCACCAGGGAAGTCCCCAGTGGTCTTTCTTGATTTGAAGTGGGAATCCAAGCCCACTTTTTAATATGGTAAAAGTTTATATGTAAGTGTTGTGTTGAAGAGTCTGGTAAAACTGTAATACTAGACATTGGCAAATAACTCACCTTGGGATTTTAGACAAATTGCTTATCCTATAAGAAAGTTAAACTTTATAATCTCAAAATCTCTGATTTATGAAAATCTGATTTGCAGAATAATTCTATATATGATCCTTAGTCAAGTTTTAAGGAAGAAGAAAGGTAACTGTGTAGTGGTAATTTTCTGGCTCTCAGTGGGTCTCTGTGACTTATGTTATGGTTCAAGCTTTGAGACATTTGTATGGAGATGTCTACAATGACCATATTGGCTTCTGCCATAACGAAGGGGGGACTTTTCTCTCTGAATACCCAAGGAAGTTAATGCACCAAGAGTCCTTTTGTTTCAAAAGCTTTTTAATATCTGAAATTCTGGTGAATTCATTATCAACTTGTTGAAATACTTTGAAAAACAAAAAGAACTGGAAAGTCGCCTTAAAGCTCATGTGCATGTATCCAAAATACATGATACAGCTCTTTCTGTCAAAACCAAATAGTGTGAACCCTTCAGAAAGTTCGCAACTTGCCCAAGTGTTTTGCCTGTAAAATTAATGTAAGCAATTCTTTTTGTTGTCCCAGGATGGTGCCTCTCCGCTGGTGTATGCTGTGGCTGCTGTTACCACTCAGCTCCAGGACCCAGAAGCTACCCACTCGAGATGAAGAACTCTTTCAGATGCAAATTCGGGACAAGGCATTTTTTCATGATTCGTCAGTAATTCCAGATGGAGCTGAAATTAGCAGTTATCTCTTTAGAGACACACCTAAAAGGTATTCTCCCTGCAGGACTTCCTTTATCAATAAGCTCAGAACGGGTGTCTCTGAAAAAGAAAGTGACCTTTTAGACTTAGTTTAGGTAATTTGCAATCAACCTCTGGATAGCATTGCCTATTTTTCTCTAAGTAAGAAAATAAAACGGCAGTGCAACGTCTAGCCATTAGACATCTCTTTGATTCTCTCTGATTGTGATCTTTTGGGTGGAGAGAGAAGTCCTTGCATGTCTAACGTTTTGGAATGGTCATTTTCTTTTCTTCAGGATGGTAGGAAGTTTCTAAGAATGACTCTACAGGATTAATGCAATTAATTGAACACATATGATTCTTCAAGGATTTGCATTGGCTTGTAAGGATATTTCTTTGATCAATATGATTGGTTCTGAAAGCATCAAACCAAACAGAGATAAAAACTGGCCCCTCACTTATCTTCACTCCAACATCAACATATTGAAATCACATAATGCTTCTAAGTATTTTGACCTTTAAAACTTACATATATCAACGTATATAAATGAATCAATCAATCATATAAACGAATTATATTTAAAGTTACTTACTTTGCAGTACCCAAACTCCTCTTTATCATATTTCAAAAACAGTTTCTCCTTTTAACCTAGGGCACCTTGGCATTCCAAAGGATAAAACTATGTCATGTCATCAATAATCCATTTTCCAAAGATTGAGGTGTATCAAATTATTGTCGTCTTTCTCTTGTCACTTCAGTTTTTTTTTGTTTTTTATTTCTTGGTACGCGGGCCTCTCACTGTTGTGGCCTCTCCCGTTGCGGAGCACAGGCTCCGGACGCGCAGGCTCAGCAGCCATGACTCACGGGCCCAGCCGCTCCGCGGCATGTGGGATCTTCCCGGACTGGGGCACGAACCCGTGTCCCCTGCATCAGCAGGCGGACTCAACCACTGCGCCACCAGGGAAGCCCCGTCACTTCAGTTTTAATTGACAATAAGAATGGAACGTGGTGCTCCTCTTCCACTGAATGGCACAGACACATTACCATCCGGTCAGTCTGTGTGAGAGTAGATAATCAGTTTTCATATTTTGACTGGTGTGACCTATTGTTTGGGTATCATTTCAGCACCATCTGAATGAAATTATTTGTTTGAATGGATGTAATAGATTAGGAACTGATTTGTCAGTAATATATAAAAGAATTATGACCCTTTCAATGACATTCCTAAGAGTGAAGGCACAAAATGCAAGGATGATTACACTAAAGGAACTTGATGTCTTAGTATTTACAGAGACTTAGTCTGTGAACACAAGGAAGGGTAGAGGAGGCAGTTTTAATGATTCAAATTAGTCTTAAATATCAGCTGAATTCATGCCGAACCATTTTGCTTGTCATATTCTTTTGTCTCTTGAAACTTTTGAGTGAATCCAAATTTTTCTTTAAAAATTACTTTGATTTCCCAAATGTACTTGTGCACTGCTTTGCAGTGTTCTTTAAAATGCAGCATTCCTCATTATGTAATACTTTCACTTAATCAAATAAATGGTTTATCTTTGATCCTCCAGTCTCTTAAAAATTAAATAAGTTTTGGTTCTAAGCGCTGTCTTAAAATTACATTTTTTTTTCTTTGAAGCAACATGTTTTTATTATAAGACATTTCAAAACAACACATGCTTCTTTCCTCCTTCTGTTTTTATTTCTTTTATTTGTTCATTCTTTTGGGTTTTTCCCCCCCCACACACAAATCATGATTGGAGACTTTGATATCTACATTTGGATGCAATGTTAACAATAGTTAAATAAAGAGTTGTGGCCACAGTCATTTCTAGGGGTAAAATATGTGATGGGAGAACACACATAGACATTGTTGATATTACAACTAAAGATGAAATTCCAGATAAAGTTTGGAAGCAGAGAATAGCAAAAGAAAACAAATTCATTAATTATTCTTATGTTTATACATAAATTCCAAAGTCTAAATGGTTCACGGAGTGTTTATCCCTCAGCTCTGGCCTTATAATTTGGAGCATATTTATCACATTTCTGTCTCCCTCACTAGCCAGTAAATACCTGGTGCTCATAGATCGTGCCCTATCATCTCTGATTGCAGCTCCCTTCCACGAGTGCACTGTGCATGGTAGACAATAAATGTTTGTCAAATTGTTAAAGTTTATTCAGATTGTCTTTTATCCCTAATCATAAGTGCTTCCATATGAAAATGTTGACTTAGAGGGACTCTCTGATGTTTTATATGTATAATGATTACCCTGTGGAATGCAAGCATTGTTTTCTCTGTTATTGGTTGCTTATGGCCTGTATTAAAGTTACTAAGACACAGTTGCATACTTTGGGAAATAAATTACTTTCTTGATTGAAATGAGAACAGAAGATAATAGCTGAACATGCACATTGATTTCAGCACTGGTTAGCTCTGCTACCCACAGAAAAACCAAAAACAAACAAAACTAAAAAGTTTTGAATACTTTTAAAATTACACGATGCTAAATAAATTATTTTGTCTTACCTAATTCTTTGTAATGTTCATAGGTTCAGTCACGTTTATGTGGTTAATATCACCTATGCAACCTGGCCAAAGGAACAAAATTCTACTCTCCAAAAGTTGACTGAATTTGAAAATTAAACCATCTGACACCTGTCTTTAGGGATGCTTAAGTCCATAAAATTTCCATACAGTAAAGAGTGCAATCATCTAGTTATTTTGTTTGGACGATTGCCTAAGTTTACTATATTCCGAACAAGCTTTTTTTGCTTTTATAGAGTCTTCACTTTATTTGTCCTTCCACAGCCCTATTTCCACCCTCCAGCTCCTAATTCATCTTGGAATAGTGAAGGGGGGAAAGCACATATATTTCCATTCAGATTCAGTATCTTCAGGTAGAAACAGACTAAGTGTAGGTATCGTAAGGCTAGAATAAGGTAGGTGTATGATTCTTGGGTTCTGTTTATTCATTTAGTAATGCATTCATTAAGAAGAGTTTATCAAGTATCTTCTACATGCAGAAATCTGTGCTAAATGCTGAGAATAAAATGACATGGAAAATGAACCCTAAGTGGGCCTTTGTTGGGAAAATGACATTAATCGAATAATAATATAAATATATAGTAACAAATTGCAATAGGTACCCAAAGTGAAAAGCATAGGACACTCGGAGTATGTGAGAGAACCTGAGCCAGAACAGTTAGAGAAGGCATCCCTGAAGAAGTGACAAATATTAGTAAGGGCATATACATCAACTATATTTCAATTAAAAAATTATTTATTTACAAATATTAGTAAGGACTAAGGGGTGTATTTCAGGCAGAGCAAACAACATCCCAATGGCTCAAAGAAGCCCTATGTGGTTCGAGCACAGAAAGCAAAAGGGATGATGACATGACAGTGAGGTAGGCGGAGGCCCCACTGCTGGGGAAGTTGTAGACTCTCTGAACAATTAAGGACTTCTTTTCCCCAAAAGTGAAAAGCTAAACTTATTCATTCATTAATTCAACAAATATTTATTAATAATTATTTTAGTCTCTAAGTCTTCATCAATGAACCAAATGCCCTGCCCTCTTGTAGCTTTCATTCTAGTTGGGGGAGGTGGAAAAATAAAAAAACAAACACAGGTATATATAATACATCAGGTAGTGATAAGTGCTTTGAAGAAAAATGAAGAGTAGAAAAGCTTCACGGATAGGAAGGTGATGTCTTACATAAGGGGTCAGAGTCGGTCTATGGCGAGATGGTGACCGACTCTAGAGAAGAGAGTTGATGCAGTGACTGAGCGTGTAAGGTCAACAGCTGGAGGATGAGCGTCTCAGATGGAGAAACAGCAAGTTCAGAGGCCCTGAGGCAAGAGTGTGCCATAATCATTCCACAGAGAACAAGGAGCTGAGTAAAGAAGGGAGAGAATAGAGGAGACAAGTTTAGAGATTTGGTTGGGGATGCAAATCATTGCAAGTTCTGAATGAGACAAGAAGCTCCTGGAGGGTTTGCAGCGAGTGTGTTCAGACTTAGGTGTACATGGATATCTCCTCCTGGAAGGAGTTAAATAAACTAAGGGGGTCAAAGTGGAAACAAGACCAGTAAAAGGCTATTGCAATGCTCAGACAAGAAAAAATGGTGGCTTGATCTGGCAGTAACAGGGAAAGTGGAACAAAGGGATGGACTCTGGGTATATTTTAAAGATGAAGCCAAAAAAAAAAAAAATGACTGCTGATTCAGTGTATGTGGAGTGGAAGAGTAAGAAAAAGTCAAGAATGCCTCTAAAATGCCTCTAACTGGAAGGTTAGGGCTGTCATTTACTGAGTAGAGACAGACTGCAGGAGAAGTTGGTTTGACGAGAGAATGAGAAGTTTGGATTAGACATCTTAAGTCTGAAATTTTCAGTAATCTCTAAAGGAAGATGGCAAGAAGATAGTTGTCTCTAAAATTTAGCTAAGAGTTCAGGCTTACAATTTACATTTGGGAATCATTAAAATAGAAGAGCTTAAAGCTGTGAGCCTGGGTGAGATCACACAGGTAATGAGCATGGGTAGAAAAGAGTGTCCTGGCACAGGCCCTTGGTTCACCCCATGGGTTAGAGGTCGAGGAGGTGAGAAGAACTGCAGAGGAGACTGTTGGAGCAGCTGGCCACGGTGGTCAGTTTGGAGAGGGTGTTGGGGTAGATATAGAGAGAATCGAGAGGCAAAGAGGTACCCAGGAGGTGCAATCTCTAGGAGGTGAAAGTTGCTTATTTTTTGCCGTGAAACCAGTGAGGAAACCACTGTTTCCTCCCTTGCAAGATTATGGGCTTTGAAAGATAATTGGAATCATCTAAATTATTCCGAGTAAGAATATATAGCATTGTTATACATAGGCAATATTTTTATTCTACTTAAAAGTTCTTTTGAGACATCATTTAAAAAAATCTAAGGGGAAAGCATAGAGGAGAATGTTTTGTTCTTTTAAAATGTTTTCAAATCACTAGGTTATTGATTCAACATAAAATCTTAGTGATAGAGAAATATGTCTTTCCACTGACTGACACAGTTATCTTTACCTTTTAAAAATATTTCTCAAATGATCATTAGATACCTCTCTCCAAAAGGATATGGAATAGAAAACTGTGAACAAAAGTCAAGATTGTAAAAGCCTGAATACAGTGTTGTTTTGCCAGAGACCAACATGCATTTTAGAAGGACATTGCTGTGAAAATGATCTTTTGGAATGGTTGGTGCTTTAGAGCGCCCTTGGGGTAACTTATAAATTCATCGCCAAATTTATGGAAAATGCAGTACCTATAGGGCAACGTACCTGGAAATTCCTCTTGGTTGTGACTTACTTTGCACTGGTGTTAAATAACACCCCCAAACTGGTAAGTGTTGATTCTTAACTCAAGTAACACCCAAACTCCACATTTTGGTTCAATGTCTTTCAATTATTTCAGACTGTGTCGATGGTAAATCTGGTCGCAGAACCTTGGGCTATTGGACTTCCACAGTTACTGCTGAAAATATGATTTGTGTCAGATAGCCAGTTGGATTTTCTGTTAAGTGAATACAAATTAAACCAAGCGACTTTTCCCACTAATCTTGGTTGTAAGTGTTAGGATGAATTACCTCGGTCTGAAGTGGTCCACTTTCACCCAGGTATTTCTTTGTGGTTGAAGAAGACAACACACCGTTGTCAGTCACAGTGACTCCCTGCGATGCGCCCTTAGCGTGGACACTGAGCCTCCAGGAGCTGCCAGAGGAGGCGAGCGGGGAAGGCTCAGGTAAGCGGCGCGGCAGACCTGGCTCCAGACCTCTGGATGGATTGCTGAAAGGCTTATGAGACAGACAGCCTTCTCTTAGTAAGAAAAACCAGCATGGATGCATGGGGGAAGCTGGAGATTTCGGGTTGGAGATGGGGGAAACGGAGGATGACATCAGATGGCGGTGATTTGGTGAAATAAAAGGTTGAGGGAGACAGGTGTGTGGGCTGAAGGAGTGAGGAAAGGCAAGAGGTGAGCATCGGGTTCCCTGGCTGTGGTTTGCAGTCTTGCCTAAGCACTGGACTCACCACTGAGGGCTGTATATGCTACTGACGCCTGCATCCTACCTACGAGGTTGTGATTTAATTGCCCTGGGGTGGGGTCTGGACATTGGGATGGTAAAAGTTCCCCTCCAGGTGAATCTAATATGCACCCAAGGATAAGAGCCTCTGATCTCTGGGGAGTAAAGGGTAGCCACAAAGAGAGAACAAAAGAGCATTGAGCACCACGGAAAGTCCAGGATGAGAAGAAAGTCAGGAGGAATAGGTCAAGCATTTGAAGACGATGCAGATGGTGGAAAGCAAATGACAGATACAAAGAAATGAGTAGAGTCTGTATGAGGCCCCGGGTTGACGCTGCCTCCCTTTAAGGGGCAAAGGCATCCTAGCTTAAAGTGAAGGCTTGAGATGGGTGCCATGACAGGATGTTAGCGAGCTGGATACTTATAGTGATGTGGGAACACTGTAATTAGGAAAATATCGAAAGGGCGTATGGGGAGTGATGAGATTGAGATAGAATGAATAGTCACATGATGATTGTGTTAATTGCATGGTTTAGGAATATGAAATTCTACATACCTCACTCTCAACCTGCAGTGATCAGCTGGAAAATATCCATTCCCACTCTAGCTACACAGTCCTTCTCTGGGTCTTCTAACACCGATATTTGTGTGACATCTGATATTAATAGTAACAAAAAATGGAAAACATTATTTTAGTTTCAGTCCTTTCCCTATATTCCTCCTGAGCACGTGTTCTACAAGTTGAAAATTAGGTCCTCTTACTGGTACTTTATATTCTATATTTTAATGAGATTGTCCAGTCCTACTAACAAAAGTGAAATTAGTGAAATGGCTAGCCATCCAAGTGCAAACTGACAGAACCCTTCTGGTAAAAGCAGATTGACAGTAGGGATTAGTCTCTAAGAGGTTTGCAGTCTTTGACCTAAAAATTCTCCCAGCTGGAATCTATCCTGAAGAAATAATGTAAAATCAGAAAAGCCTTATATATATAACAGCATTATTATAATGGTCAAAAATTAACCAACAGTTTCATTTTTATGATATAATATTAAGTGAGAAAAATGGAGGTTTCTCTAGGTACGTATATGCATGATAATAAATGTTATAAAGTTGCAGAGAAAAATAAGAGAAAATAATACCAACTGCATAAACATGTGTAGAAGGAAGACTGATAGAAATAGACCAAACTGCTAATAAAGGACTACGTGGATCTTGTATTAATGGATGGTTTTTTTTTATCTTGTTCTCTATCTCCCAGTTTTCTACTGGGAACATGTATTCTTTTTATAATGGAGAAAAATGAAATTTAATTGTCTTAAGAACACAATTTAAGGTTGGCAAGCCACAGCACATGCCCTGACGTGTAGGCTGTGCTTCTCTTGTGTCTTTTAGGTGATCCAGAGCCTCTGGCTCAGCAGAAGCAGCAGATCATTAATGAGGAAGGTGCAGAGTTATTCTCCTACAAAGGCAACGACGTGGAATATTTCATGTCTTCTAGTTCTCCATCTGGTTTATATCAGTTGGAGCTTCTTTCAACAGAGAAAGACACACATTTCAAAGTATATGCCACCACAACTCCAGAGTCTGACCAGCCCTACCCTGAATTACCTTATGACCCAAGAGTCGACGTTACCTCCCTGGGATGCACCACGGTCACTCTGGCTTGGAAACCGAGCCCCACGGCCTCTTTGCTGAAACAACCCATTCAGTACTGTGTGGTCATCAACAAAGAGCACAATTTCAAAAGTCTCTGCGCAGTGGAAGCGAAGTTGAGTGCAGACGACGCTTTCATGATGGCACCAAAGCCCGGTCTGGACTTCAGCCCTTTTGACTTTGCCCACTTCGGATTTGCTTCGGACAATTCAGGTAAAGAGCACAGCTTCCTGACAAAGCCGTCTCCAAAACTGGGGAGGCATGCCTACTCGAGGCCCAAGGTTGACATTCAGAAAATCTGCATAGGAAACAAGAATATCTTCACCGTCTCAGATCTGAAACCCGATACGCAGTACTACTTTGACGTCTTCGTGGCCAACAGCAACAGCAGTATGAGCACTGCTTACGTGGGCACCTTTGCCAGGACCAAGGAAGAAGCGAAACAGAAGACAGTTGAGCTGAAAGATGGGAAAGTTACGGATGTGTTCGTGAGAAGGAAGGGGGCAAAGTTTCTACGGTTTGCTCCAGTCTCATCTCACCAAAAAGTCACCTTATTTATTCACTCTTGTCTGGACGCTGTCCAAATCCAAGTGAGAAGAGATGGGAAACTTCTTCTGTCTCAGAACGTGGAAGGCATTCGACAGTTTCAGCTGAGAGGAAAACCTAAAGCCAAATATCTCATTCGACTGAAAGGAAACAGGAAGGGAGCATCTATGTTGAAAGTACTAGCTACCACCAGGCCCAGTAAGCAGTCATTTCCCTCTCTCCCTGAAGACACACGCATCAAAGCCTTCGACAAGCTGCGTACCTGTTCTTCAGCCACCGTGGCTTGGCTAGGCACCCAGGAAAGGAACAAGTTTTGCATCTACAAAAAGGAAGTGGATGATAATTACAGTGAAGACCAGAAGAAAAGAGAGCAAAACCAATGCCTTGGACCAGATACAAGGAAGAAATCAGAGAAGGTCCTCTGTAAATATTTCCACAGTCAAAACCTGCACAGAGCAGTGACCACAGAAACAATTAAAGGTCTTCAGCCTGGAAAATCTTACCTGCTGGATGTTTATGTCACAGGACATGGGGGGCACTCTGTGAGGTATCAGAGTAAAGTTGTAAAAACCAGGAAGTTCTGTTAGTTACCTGGTATAGAGACATATCACTCAGAACTCCAGCAGAGACATTACATCACTTTAAGTATAAACTGACTACTCCCACAGCTGAGAGAAGTTGTGACCTGGACTTGTACTATGGAAGAAAGGATATCAGCTGGAGTATATTGATGTTTATGTAAGTAATTGTTGGAGGAGACCCGGTCTAGTGTGCCCCAACGGTACCTAGTGTGTATCTGATATCCACTGATGTCAAAGAGAGAGGACATCTTGAAGGAACCGCCATCCCTTGCTTTGACCACTGCATGAACTAATTCTAAATTATTTTATCACCTAAAAATTTTGAATATGCCATTCGTTGCACACATCCACAAATGCAAATTATTCCTCTCAATAGATGTTAGGATATATATAAATTATTTTATAAAGTCTTGTTTTAAATGTCAGTGTTTCTATGATTGTAAACTATTAAATTCTTTTCCTGTTAAAGTACGGATCTAATCTATTAAGTGGACAGCCCTTTAGTCAGTTCTATTGCTATTGTAAATTCTTTTTTTTTTTTTTTTCGGTACACGGGCCTCTCACTGTTGTGGCCTCTCCCGTTGCGGAGCACAGGCTCCGGACGCGCAGGGTCAACGGCCATGGCTCACGGGCCCAGCCGCTCTGCGGCATGTGGGATCTTCCCGGACCGGGGCACGAACCCGCGTCCCCTGCATCGGCAGGCGGACTCTCAACCACTGCGCCACTAGGGAAGCCCTATTGTAAATTCTTATCTGTTGAGTAAAAAGTTTAAATACTGTATGTATCTCATGTACAAAGTTGACATACATTATATTCATGTATATAAAATTAAAGATATTAGATTATATACTGTTCATTTTCCCAAGCAGCTACCTTGGTGTATTCAATTTCTATTCTGTCCCCCAAACTGCGCCTTTATGTAATTTTGCACCAGGTTTGACCCTTTTTTAATAGTTAAAAGGCATGCTGCATCTCTCTAAAGTTACTGTGGCATTAGAGACAGTTATTGAAATTTGTATTTTGACATTGAATAGGAGCTAGCTGTTGTGAGAATTGAGAGCACACCAATGGACTTAGAATAAGACAAGCCTCAAAATACTGTAGCTTGATAAGTATTCAACAAATCGTCCTTAACAACCTAAAATATATTACCTCTATTTTAAAAAGAACCATCTATTTTAAGTACAAAATTGGGATATGCCAAATATTTTCCAGCTGCTTGAATATTAGCAAAATAATTGTTTTGATTTCTAGTGGGAACAACTAAGCAACCACCAATTAGGACTGTAATTAGTAATGAGAAAAATATGGAAGCTGCTGTTTTGTAACATTAGCAGTTACTTTTAGCTTTGATTTTTCATGAATCTTCAAAAAGTAATTTAGGTGTAAGATAAAATTTAGGCAAATAATAATAGAAACCTTCATTTATCAAAAACTCTTTACAGAGGGCAGTTTTAGATAGTTTCATTCTCCACAGGTTCTATACACGATGTGTCATGAAAACACTGGAGGATTTAGAAGAGTCTGGGATTTACAGTCAGCTAGGCTATGTGGCTTTAGGAAAATCTGCTACCTCCCCTTGTTCCTCTTTCCCATTTATAAAATTAGGTTGGTGATAGATTTGGATAAGATGATATTATAGGATACCTTCTATCATGAGACGTTGTCTTTTGTAGAATTCTATGATTCTAAATTAGAAAGTGTTTCTGTAACTACAAGTGGGGCAGGTGTAATTCCTTAACCACTACATTTCCCCTATGTGCTGGCACCACCTTTCATATGGTGGGCGTACATGAGTAGCATTCTTTTTATTTTTTTTGCGGTATGTGGGCCTCTCACTGTTGTGGCCTCTGCCGTTGCGGAGCACAGGCTCTGGACGCGCAGGCTCGGAGGCCATGGCTCACAGGCCCAGCTGCTCCGCAGCATGTGGGATCCTCCCGGACCGGGGCACAATCCCGCGTCCCCTGCATCGGCAGGCAGACTCTCAACCACTGCGCCACCAGGGAAGCCCGAGTAGCATTCTTATGGAGTATAAAGTCACTATGGCTGGGGAGTATAAGTGGTGGTCCTTATGAAAGGACCACCGTAGGAAAAAATATCCCCCCTAAAAATGTGTCATCCAATTCATCAGTGTTAAGATATCAAAACAAAATTTATCATATCTGTATGAAGCATTGTGACACCTGAAATAATTTTTTAAAAGGAAGAAAGAGCATGTCGCCAGTGGCCACATAACCAACCAACTTGGAAGGAGAACTTTAAAATTGACAATATCCCAGAGACCTTCTTATCCTAAGTTATAAATACGGTGCCATTGGAAGGAGAATCAACTTTCTCATATTACTCACAAATATATTATTACAGAGCAATGTGCTAAATGGGACTACAGTGAATCAAAGAGTTATTGCAGCTTCTGAAGGTGACGGACTTAACTCTCAGATATTGCTAAATGCCTGGGAAAAGCTGGGAGCCAGGCCAAATCAATTTAACCGAGCTTTTATTTTTTAGCCAACTGGGATGGTGGTTTCTATGTAGTCTGCATATACCAGAGAATTCTTTCATGGCCCCGGTGAAATTTGCCTTTTAAAAATTATGGGAAAATTAAACACACATTGTAAAACTTCTATCTCTCGTAAAGGAAGAGAGAAACCTATTAACAACAAAGCTCTCTTATTTACTAATGTGTTTAGATTTTAGGAGCATTCAGGTGAACTGAGGGCAAGAAAGAAAGATTTGTTCTTAATTAACAAAAGAACTAGAAAGCTAATATGAAAGCACCACCTTTTCTCCATTAAGCTCCAGGATAGCTATATTGAGAACAGGGCATTTAGAATACCAAGTATAGCCATAGTATCATTGAGGAGGGAGGAATCTCTGAGGACATTTTATTTGAGTTCACTATCTTTATTTTTCAGGTGCAAAAGGAAATTGAATACCAGAGAAATAAAAAGAAAGTTCTCATAGTCGAAACAAATAAGTAATAGAATTGCTTAGACTCCAAAATCCTTACTAGAATATAAATCACCAATTCTTAGGGAAAAGAAGTCACTTATGGATTATTTTCCAAAAGGAAATAAAATTTTTGTCTTATTTATGACTTCAAAGCAACTCATTCTTAAAGACCATTTCAAATTTCATTAAGACTGTGTGTGTAACCCATAACTGACAACTTCAAACTTGTAAGAAAAAAAAAAGTTATGATTAGTTTTAGAGACAGAAAGTATTCTGATCTAGGCTTGCATGTACACACAAACTGAGGCTGTTAAGTTCATTAGTCAATTATTTTAATCTAAAACTATTCAGAATCTATACAAGTTTATAGCAGATGATTTTCTTGGTTAAGTTATAATCAATGTCTAGATTAATTTTTTAAACATGCATCAGAGGATTAGTGCTGGAAAGGATATATGCATTGCTTATTTTAGTTACTCCGAATACACTTGGAAAAGTTGTGATCTTTGTATCCTGAAAAGCCAAATGGAGCAACTTCAAATAAAAAATCACTTAGATGAACTTTAGAGTTTGAAATCAGTTTTAATGGTTTTTAATAGTTTGGGAGGTCCAGACACCATTGAAAACACACACACACACACACACACACACACGTTTTGAATACAATTCAAGGAATTTGTTGGACCTGAAACCAGCAGGA